CATTAGTTATCCATTGATATCCATTAATCCTCATTAATATTCCCATTCATATTCCCATCTGGTTGGTGGTTTCACCTCTGAAAAATATGACTTCGTCAGTTGGGATTATTCTTCCCAATAGAAAAATAAAAGCCATGTTCCAAAACCACCAACCAGATATATTGTTATTCCAATGATTAACCATTGATTAACCATAGATTAACCATTATTAACCATAGATTAACCAATGATTAACCATAGATTAACCATAGATTAACCAATGATTAACCAATGATTAACCATTATTAACCATAGATTAACCATAGATTAACCATAGATTAACCATTGATTAACCATAGATTAACCATTATTAACCATAGATTAACCATAGATTAACCAATGATTAACCAATGATTAACCATTATTAACCATAGATTAACCATTATTAACCATAGATTAACCAATGATTAACCAATGATTAACCATTATTAACCATAGATTAACCATTATTAACCATAGATTAACCATTGATTAACCATAGATTAACCAATGATTAACCAATGATTAACCATAGATTAACCAATGATTAACCATAGATTAACCATTATTAACCATAGATTAACCAATGATTAACCATAGATTAACCAATGATTAACCAATGATTAACCATAGATTAACCATAGATTAACCAATGATTAACCAATGATTAACCATAGATTAACCAATGATTAACCAATGATTAACCATAGATTAACCAATGATTAACCATAGATTAACCAATGATTAACCATAGATTAACCATAGATTAACCATAGATTAACCAATGATTAACCAATGATTAACCAATGATTAACCAATGATTAACCAATGATTAACCAATGATTAACCATAGATTAACCAATGATTAACCATAGATTAACCAATGATTAACCATAGATTAACCAATGATTAACCAATGATTAACCATAGATTAACCAATGATTAACCATAGATTAACCAATGATTAACCATAGATTAACCAATGATTAACCATAGATTAACCAATGATTAACCATAGATTAACCATAGATTAACCAATGATTAACCATAGATTAACCAATGATTAAACCTAGATTCCAATGAATTAACCATAGATTAAACAATGATTAACCATAGATACCAAATGATTAACCAATGATTAACCATAGATTAACCATGATTAACCATAGATTAACCAATGATTAACCATAGATTAACCAATGATTAACCATAGATTAACCAATGATTAACCATAGATTAACCAATGATTAACCATAGATTAACCAATGATTAACCAATGATTAACCATAGATTAACCAATGATTAACCATAGATTAACCAATGATTAACCATAGATTAACCAATGATTAACCAATGATTAACCAATGATTAACCAATGATTAACCATAGATTAACCAATGATTAACCATAGATTAACCAATGATTAACCATAGATTAACCAATGATTAACCATAGATTAACCAATGATTAACCATAGATTAACCAATGATTAACCATAGATTAACCATAGATTAACCAATGATTAACCATAGATTAACCAATGATTAACCATAGATTAACCATAGATTAACCAATGATTAACCATAGATTAACCAATGATTAACCAATGATTAACCATAGATTAACCAATGATTAACCATAGATTAACCAATGATTAACCATAGATTAACCAATGATTAACCATAGATTAACCAATGATTAACCATAGATTAACCAATGATTAACCATAGATTAACCAATGATTAACCATAGATTAACCATAGTTAACCATTATATTAACCATAGATTAACCATAGATTTAACCATTATATTAACCATAGATTAACCATAGATTTAACCATTATATTAACCATGATATTAACCATAGATTTAACCATTATATTAACCATAGATTAACCATAGATTTAACCATTATATTAACCATAGATTAACCATAGATTTAACCATTATATTAACCATGATATTAACCATAGATTTAACCATTATATTAACCATAGATTAACCATAGGTTTAACCATTATATTAACCATAGATTAACCATAGATTTAACCATTATATTAACCATAGATTAACCATAGATTTAACCATTATATTAACCATAGATTAACCATAGATTTAACCATTATATTAACCATAGATTAACCATAGATTTAACCATTATATTAACCATAGATTAACCATAGATTTAACCATTATATTAACCATAGAATAACCATAGATTTAACCATTATATTAACAATGATAACATAGATTAAACCATGATTAACCATAGATTAACCAATGATAACCATAGATTAAACCACTGATTAACCAATGATTCACCAAGATTAACCAATGATTAACCTAGATTAACCAATGATTAACCATAGATTAACCAATGATTAACCATAGATTAACCAATGATTAACCATAGATTAACCAATGATTAACCAATGATTAACCAATGATTAACCAATGATTAACCATAGATTAACCAATGATTAACCATAGATTAACCAATGATTAACCATAGATTAACCAATGGTTAACCATAGATTAACCAATGATTAACCAATGATTAACCATAGATTAACCAATGATTAACCATAGATTAACCAATGATTAACCATAGATTAACCAATGATTAACCATAGATTAACCAATGATTAACCAATGATTAACCATAGATTAACGCATAGATTTACCAATGATTAACCATAGATTACCATGATTAACCATAGATTAACCAATGATTAACCATAGTTCAGCAAGATTACCACTGATTAACCATAGATTAAACCAATTATAACATAGATTAACCATGTAACCATAGATTAACCATGATTAACCATAGATTACCAATGATTTACCAATAGATTAACCATGATTAACCAAGATTTGAACCATGATTAACCATAGATTAACAATGATTGAAACATAGATTAACATGATTAACCATAGATAACCCATGATTAACCATAATTAACCATGATTAAACCATGATTAACCAATGATAACAAGATTAAACCCAATGATTAACCATAGATTAACGCAATGATTAACCAATGATTAACCATAGATTAACCAATGATTAACCATAGATTAACCAATGATTAACCATAGATTAACCAATGATTAACCAATGATTAACCATAGATTAACCAATGATTAACCATAGATTAACCAATGATTAACCATAGATTAAACAATGATTAACCATAGATTAACCAATGATTAACCAATGATTAACCATAGATTAACCAATGATTAACCATAGATTAACCAATGATTAACCATAGATTAACCAATGATTAACCATAGATTAACCAATGATTAACCATAGATTAACCAATGATTAACCATAGATTAACCAATGATTAACCATAGATTAACCATAGATTAACCAATGATTAACCAGCCATTATTAACCATTAACCTCCCGATTGGATCATTCACTCCAGCAGCTTCATCACTCCATCGCGCCAGAAGCGCCGTGCCCTGCGCCTCTCGCGCAGCATGAAGCGCCGCTGACGCTGCGACGCGTCCTGCAGGAGATCCGCCTCGCGGAGCGAGGCGAAGCACCGGTGGCCATGGAAATGTCCCCAACAAGCAGGGAGAAATGTCTGGAAATGGGAAAACATCGGAAAATCTCAGGGGTTAGATTTTTTTTTTGGACATGTCGATTTTATGGCCAGGGAAATGTGTCAAGCGGCAAAACCTAGGGAGATTGTGGAGATAACAACCTCAAAGTGGAGAAGTGAAGCACCAACACGTTGGAATGTGAGGTTCAACTAACACGGAGCGAAGATCTTAATAGCTTAAGCAACATGGAATCAACCACATTTGCGTGTGTTTCTTCAAGTTTGAGAAGCCATCATTAGTGACGTTTTCCTCATCCTTACATCGAGCTAATCATTGTGCACGACCAATCCTGGGACCCTTGTGAGTGGTGCACATATGTGTACCGTACCTGGTTACCTACTTGACTGATGACAGTTGGATCATGTTGGATCTGTGACGTCAGTTGATAATTTCAACTGGAGTGGAGAAATTAACACTGGTTGGGAGGGAGAATCACCCGATGCGTTTGTAACGCCACCAACCTCCTTTAAAAAGAAAATGACTGACTTTGGAGAGAAGCACGTGTCAAAACCCCAGACCGTTTGCACTCTAGAATCCCTCCTATCTGGAAGGAAGTTTGATAGAAGAATGGGTTCACATTTCTTTAAGAAAGTTACAAGAGACCACGACATTTTTCCATCCAAAACAGAGACCATGAGATTTACCATCCAAACCAAAATCACATGAAAAGAACTGCCAATGTTCTCTTCACCTGGGGCAGTTTGCTCACGCCTTCAGCAACATCTCCAAAAGATGTGGGGCCTCGAAATCTGTGAACCAAATGTTGGGGCCTCTGCCCGGCAATAGAGACATACACAGTCAGACTATAATTAATGCGGGGTCAAACCCACCAAAAAACATAAGGGGTGCATATATCATCATATATCCCCCATCTACAGTGAATCTACAGTTCTGACAAGCCAGGGAAGCCTGATAACAGGTGGAAGCTCAAAATCCAAGCGGCTGATTCGAAGTGCAAAGCCCAATCCCAGTGAAAATAATCCAACCTCGGCTGCCCCACCAGACTGATCCTCATCAGCTGAATGCGTCTATCGGTGTCTGGTGCAGAACTTTCAACAACACTGCTATGAAACGCATCAATCACAAGGCAAACCAATAACTTCAGTGGTTCACCAGTTCCAAGAAACATCAAAAAGACATCAAAACATGTCAAAATATGTTGGTGTGCCTGAAACTGGGGTATAACTCGGTATAAGCTCCAGATGGCCATCAATGGCCATCATTCAGAATAGCTGAAAGTGGTGATGAAGCAATGGCCAGCGGCAGGCGCATCCAGTACAGCATCGCCATCACACGGTCCGGACCTTCGGGCCTGACGATCGGTTGATGGTTTCATACCCTGAGTATGAAATATGCACTTTTCAAGATTGGGTATAGAAAAAATCACTTTTCAGGTATCCACAATTTTGCATCTGCCAGAATCTACCAGTGTTACTTCTCCATGCATATTTCTTCCTTACCACCAAATGGGCTGATTGGGTCGGGTCCACCAGGTCAGGGAGCTCGTCACCACCGCGACCAAGGCGCAGGGTCGTCACCAGGAATGGGAAAGGATGTGGTCGCTGAAATGCCTCAGGTTTCCTCGGTCGGATCGGCGCTACAACGCGCCATCGGATCGATGGAACTGGGGCTCTTTCTGCCTCTTTCAACTGCAGATCTCGGTCATATAGCTGGTTTTTGCTGAGTTTTGTTTATCGTGTCCAGGATACCCAAGAAATTCGACAAAAAAACCAACGACCCCATCAACCGTTCGTCCAGCATCGGTGGATTTCGAAATTTCATCTTGCACTCCTCGTCGCAGGACTGGGTCATACGCTCGGACCACCACAAGAAGGGCCTGGAGCATGGCCCATGGCCCAAACCGGCTCCCCGGCAGCACCAGGGTTTGACTGGACTTGGGCTTGCAGTTAGAGTTAACAACTCCATAAATTTAGTCTATGCTGTCTATGCTTATAACCCCTATAATTATGACCATAGACTGTGCCATAGTGTCATCCAGTTGTGAAGCTGAACTGGACCCCCAAGCACCCCATGCCTTGGAAAAGAAGACTCAAGAATTACATGGCCACAAATTTGGGAGCCCATCCCCATTTCAAATTCCTGTCATGCTGGTGGAAATTGATGATTCTGATATGTGTCGCACATATCTCCCAGATATATCCCAGATATATCGCACATGTTGGTTTCACCCCTCCATGTGCTTTAAATCCTCCTCCTTTCGTCTAAATCGACTCAGGTCCCCACAAGCGCGACATGAGGCGAAGATCTGGCAGCAGCACCGGAAGGGCCATGTTGGTCCCCTCGAAGTACATCATCTGCATCACCTTTCTGCTGCCCGAGGGCCGCGAGGGGACTACATGGCGAAAATCCACCATTTAGATCCATTTACTTCGATGATGTTCGCATGAAAGTCATTAAAGCTTCCATTTCTGAGGGATTTCCCATTGCCATGTTTGACTTCAAGTAAGAACCCCGTTTTTGCTGGCTGGGCAAGCAAGTTTTTGCAACGAGAAATCTCAGCTGGTTGAAATGAGGCAGAATGAGGCATAGAAAGTCTTGATTTCAGTAGTGGGTTTGAAGAATCAATAGGTCATCCTGACATCCTGGCTGTATGGCTTTCAGCTGGGTTGACATATCCAGTTGATCACCAAGTCTGACTGGGCTTAGATTTGGTTGGCTGAAAATGGGCCATGCCCCCCTCATGGCCGGCAATTCTTGGGAAAAAATGATGTTCTCAACCGTGAAATGTGGTGGTTTCTGCATAATGTTCAATCGAAGCCACAGTTTTGTTCATAGTTTTATTATATAAATCTCTCCAACTTTTCATAGTTGTTCCAAAGTTTACCATAGATAACTATCTCTATCCCATCCATTTGTTCAGCTCTTTCCACCCATCCAACTTCTGCCCAAAGGCACGTTGCCGTGGGGCACCATGATCAGGGCCCGGAAGTCCTTGGCGAGGCTACAGTAATCCACGTAGTCGTCCGTCCTGCGCACGATGGAACCATGGATTGGTTGAAGGGAAATCCACTGGAAATTCCATGGGTTTTTTTCCACTGGAAATTCCATGGGTTTTTTTCCACTGGAAATTCCATGGGTTTTTTTCCTATGACTAATATGAGGCTTTCCGAAAAATGTTCCCTGAAACCAATCTATTGATTGTGAGGATTTACCCAACCCTTTGGGAATGGAGGGTGTTATTAACAACAAGTCGGCGCAAAACCAACCATGTTTGGAGGATATAATGGGATATATTGGGATAGAATGGGGAATTGGTGGCAATTTAGCCATCAAACATGGGGATAAGGGGGATCAATGCTGATTATAGGGATTTAACCAACATAATAATGGCCGTTTGTGATTTAAGCAACAGCCAGTTATGTGGGTATATATCAAACAACCCCAATGGGAAGATACTTGGGATAGAATGAGCTAAGCTGGATGTTTTGATGGAACCCGAAACTCCTACCGTTTCCGGAGTTTGCCTCAGAGGACGACCCAGAACTGCAAGAGAAGAAGTGGATTGTGAGGAGGACTTTATCCCGAAAAAATGTCAAAATATGGTATCTTAGGGACCCATCCCCATTTTCTGGGATGTAATGGGAGATATGAATGGGATACTATAGGATATCATGGGATATCATGGGATATGTGGGACATGTGCTTTCTGAAAGGGATGTTTTCTTAGGCTTGTCTACCACTTAAATGAATTATAGACCCAGCTTTAAATGTTGCAACTGGGCACCCCATTTCGGTCTTAAATTTCAATCCTCGGCATCTCCATCCAATCATCACCCCAGCAACACAGCGAAGTCCCACATTGAACCTCGCAATGGAAAATCACCTCTTTTTCTCCCATATTTTCCCATGAAAAGGTGAGATTTTCCTTTGTCATGTTCAATTGCCTGAGGGTTTATCATAGTTGCCCTCCTGTAAACGTTTACATGTGGAAAAGCCACCATTTGTAGATCATCCTTGGGTTTAACCATGAGTTTTCCACATCTTTCCATATGGCTTTGTCTGAAAATAGGATATCGATGAGTATCCCATTCCATCCACTGAATCATGAAAAACCACCAGTAAACCACAATTATTTTATTCCTTGTTAAACTATCACAACATTCTTCATCATTAAACCACCATTCAACCAGCATTCAACCAGCATTTTGCAGAGGGACCCATATCTTTCCAGCGCCTGTAGAAGTTCAAGGGATAGTTGTCAGGTGTCAGCATCCACACCAAGAACCAAAACCCTTGACCTCGGCATTGAGTAGTTCCGCTTCACCATCCGACTGAACCTTCGAATTGAATCATAGATGGTTTATGGTTTATAGTACCTTCTATAGTATTTTCGATAGTATCTTCGACAGAATCTTCTATAGTATGTTCGTTTTCTATAGTATCTTTAGATTCAAATAAAGCATGTGACGATGGTTTTCCACCAACTTGTCCATGAGAGGGTCACTTTGAGGGATCTGCAGTTTGGGAGATACGCGGGTAGAACCAAATATCAAATCTCGTTGGAATGGCAAGGCCAATTTCAGGCACCGAAGATGTTGTGCCAGACTATTGGGTAAGTGGTGTTCGTTCTTGAGGATGTGACAAATCCCCAAGGAAAGCATCAGAGATGGCTACTCATCAAAGCACATGAGAGTCGAACCTCCTTGACCCAACATGAAAGTCCAGCAGGAACATGCTCAGCACGAAACTTTGGCATACAAATTTGCACCTATTTTTCTGACCAAGTTTGAAGGCGACAGTGACCCCACAACCCCACCTGTGGAGCCTCCCTGCCCTGCTGCCCAAGTGCATGCTCCACAGCGTCCTCGACAGTTGAGGACGAAGACAGACTGACTCCTGAGGCCACGGGACAAACTGCGTCAGACTCGACAAAGTCGACAAACAGGTGCAGCTGTATACATAGGGGGAGAGGGGGAGAGCGAGAGAGAGAGAGAGAGAGAGAGATATATATATATATATTTATCTATTTATCTATTTATTTATTTACTTATTTATCACCCAAAGCTGCAGCTGCAATGTCACTTTTTGGCAGACCACAGATTGCTAAAGTGGATTGGCTCAGTAGCCCATACTAGTGAGACATCGCTACCCCACTCACTACCAACGCTCCAACCTCAAGAGGCGGTACTTGACAGCCGGTGAGCCTCAAGAGGCCAGTGAAATGGCTCAAGAACCATCCACTCAACCCCAAAAAAAAACACTCCAACCAGCAGGCGGTGAAGGGGTGGAGGTGGGTGAACCACCAAACTGCAGAGGGTGATGAAAGCTCGCACCACAAATGCAGCTCCATGCTTACGCTGCATATTATGTTAAGCTAAATGGTATTATCACCCAAAGCTGCAGCTGCAATGCCACTTTTTGGCAGACCACAGATTGCTAAAGTGGATTGGCTCAGTAGCCCATACTAGTGAGACATCGCTACCCCACTCACTACCAACGCTCCAACCTCAAGAGGCGGTACTTGACAGCCGGTGAGCCTCAAGAGGCCAGCGACATGGCTCAAGAACCATCCACTTACCAAGCTAGTCAAAGTGGGGATTTGAGCTGGGGCGAACAAAAAAGTAATCCCACTTCCCAAGTTTGAAGCCCGAAGTTGTACGTCCTCAGAAACTATCGCCGGAAGACAGACGCCCATTGGTGGCGATTTTTGCGCATCCAGAGCTTGACGTCTCGTCTTTGTGCCACTGACCACTGCTGTCGGGCCAGGGTAAGCGTCGACGTAGGACCTAGCAGTCTTTGTGGTGGCCCATCTGCCACGGGAAAGAGTAGCATCTAAGGATGCTGTTTCCAAAAAATACCATGTGGCACCTCCTCGGCGTATACCATAGGGCGTATAATCATCAGCCCTAAGCTCCAAACATTCAAGCAAACGAGCCCAGGGTGGCAAGGAACATACCAAGACTTCCAGCCCACAACGGGGCGGTGCTGCCCTGTTCCCTCTTAAGGGCAGAAGTCAGACGCCACATGCGGTCATCCTTGACCAAAAGTACCTGAGCATTTCCGTTTGAAGTTTTGGAGAAAGGGATCACAATGCTACCTCAGGTTTCGTATGATGGGGCAGGAGGTGGAAATATTGGAGGCCCAACAACTCAGAGGTGCGGAGGAAGCAATTGAATCCGATATATAACAGGAGAGACGTTTGCTTGCTTCCTTGGTCCCAGCAGATTGCGGCCATTGCCTGCAAAAGTTCCCAACTGATGGGAACTGCTCTCAAGGGTCGGTGACACCGGTGCCAGTTTCGAAAGTATTGAGTGGTCGTTGAACCCATCGGTTGAACTTGGCCACATTCTTGTCGAAAGCCTCGGCATGCTGCTTCTTCTTCAAAAATGCCAGCACCGGCTCCTCAAAGTCACCTGGGCTGAGCTCTCGCACCTTGGTGACATGTATCATTTTGCTCTTGCCCCGGACCGCGGGACAGGTGCCTGGTCTCTCTCCACATAAGTGGTACCAGGCGCGATCACTCAGTTCTTTCCCATCTCCAGTCTCCATCCACCACAGGTAGTGTGCATCACTGCAACCGATAAAGTATCCTTCTATGGACGGGGTTCCTCCATCGGGCTTCCCAATTTCCTTGATCCCCTACACCACCGTCCCTTGTCCTCGGCCTTGGGCGTCCAACACCCCGGCTTCTACAAAGGATCCAACCTTGAGATCCAGGCCTGTGCCGGTGCGATGCCAATTCCCAGGCATCCTCCCCCACCCGGCTCCACCTTAGGAACCGGGGGTGCTCCTTTCCATCCTTGACACAATAAAGGGGGGGCCACCAGATTGCTTGAACCACCACGCTGCAGAGGGTGATAAAAGCTCGCACCACAAATGCAGCTCCATGCTTACGCTGCATATGTTAAGCTAAATGGTAATATATATATATTAAAGTCGATTTAGATCTAGATTACATATTAGATTAGACTAGATTAGATTTAGATTCGATTAGGGTAGAGTAGACTAGATAGACGAATAGATGAATGGGCAGAGAGATAGATATAGAGAGAGAGAGAGACTCAAGGTCAATATGATCATCCATATGTCTATATATATATATGTATGTATGTATATGCATATACAAACCTAGTGCTGCATTGTTAGTTGGTGTGTATCCGTATGCGAAAGCGCGACCTTCACCCTGAGCGCTCCTCAGACTGCCAGCATCGTACCTGGAGGAGATGCATGGCACCAATGGACCCTTGACACATGGAAATGGAAGGAATCCCAAAATTTGGATGCCTGGAACCTAGTCTCATGGGTTGCACATGGTTGCACGAATAGAATACTGTAGACGAATTAGGCAGCATGGTATCCACAGTCAAGGATTCCTAGTCGCCTCATTTCTTCTAGAATAATACTTATATTTCACCCGCCAGTTCCGACTGATCTTTCTCTTCAGTGATTCTTTCCCACTCTATGACATCTCTATACGCCCATGTGGACAATGGAAGTGTTCGATGCATAGTGCCAGTGTCACATAATCCTGAACCTGCAACAAACAAACCAACCCTGGGGGGCTACCCCAACCATCGATTTAGCCACTGAAGCCGAGGTCCCAGTCACCTGCAACTCAAGTAGTAGCTCACTACCCGCGCAGACGGCACCCGAAGGCCAGTGCGGAAAAAGATGGACTCCTGAAAAGCAGATCTTCAGCAGAACATCACCATTCCCCCTATGACATATCCCCCAGAGAGGCAACCACCAAATGCATAGATCCAATACTAATCCACCATTGGTTTCTCCGTGGGGATGAACATCCCAAACAAAACGGAACAAGGTGCTACAGGGTGCAACGCGAAGGCACCATGGCTGTAAGATGCTGTAAGGATATTCCAGGACAAAGTCTGGCTGGGAAGATTTTCAGCAGGGGTACCTTCCCCAGATTCTCAAAATACATGAGCATCTGTTCTAAGGGTGTATCATGCCCCTTTTCAAGGAATCGTTGTCCTCAGAATTGCGGCCACTGGTCAATATCTATGTGGCCCCGGCCGGACGCTTCTTGCCTCTCGAAATGGAGTATATACAGCAATTGGATGTCATCATGGACTTCCTACCACCCTTGGAAAACCATCAGAGCTTCATCGTTCACCATTTTTGGAGCAGAAGGATATCCAACCTCATCTGCTCCATCTGAACAGCCTGGTCTACAGGGGTCCACGAGCTACTCGGCGTCGTTCAGTAGATTTCAGTAGCGCCTTCGCGGTAGCTTAATGTTGTTGATGTATTTCAATCTTCAGTATATACATGTGATTTATATATCAGTAAGAATATGAGTATACATGCACATGCCTATATATGAAAAAGATTATGTCCATCCAATTGTTTATGCTTAGTGTCCCCTATTCTTAATGTCTTTCCCAATGCCCCCTGTCCCAGTGTCCGCATTCCACGGGTCGTTGGTCACCAACAGCGTCCGCAGATTTGCTGGCAGTCGCAACTCTGGTGGCAGATTCGGTGCCTCCTGGGAGTATACCTGGCGCTTCGAGGCTGATGCCCAACCGTTCACCCCGGCTGGAAAATGATTGATGCTAATTGGTTATGATTGGTTATGACATCTCTCTGGTGAATTTTATGTCATTTGGTGAATGTGGTCATATGTTTTGTCAATTCCTTAATTCACCTAGGGCCGTCTCTATGTTGTGTGATGTTTACCCTCTGGACACTTATCAAAATTATATGGAACACCAGTTGAAAAGATCATTTTCTGGGAATCCTAGGTGTTCCATATGGTTTTGTCAAATTGCCAGGGAGTAAGAAAGGTTTGTTGTTACTACCAAGTAAAACTTTCCCATCAATGGGGAAGTTCCATCGCCGGGCTACCAAAGTGAGGGTGCTCTGAAGGCATCATGAAGTGAACATGCCGATATGGGGATTGGTTAAAACCTATGAAATACCATATTTGGAGGGAATGAACATGCATTTTCCGCAATGAAGAAACGAGACATATACTTAACACCCTCATTTCACCAAGCTCCGCTACCACGTGGGTTCGTTCCACCAGCTCCTACTAGACTATCAAAAACACAGCAGCCGTTTTGGACCCTCTAGCAGCAAAGGCAAATGGCTGCCAGAACCGAGAGACCAGCCGTACAACCACAAGCAGCACACACTGTGGATGTCTCAATTCTTGAAGAATATCAGTCAACACAGCAAGGTTCCAATCACGATAGAGCAGCGTAGACCACCGAGCCACATGCTGGCATTCTGGTGTGGGTGCATCAGGGTCAACATAGAGATGTCGAGGTTACATACGGTCGATGACCACTTCAAAGCTCACACCCAGGTTGTGCCGGTCAGAAACATACCCAAAGACCTGGCAAAGATGGTTCCCGGCTTCAGCTGAAATAGTTCTGTTTCACCTGGGAAGAGCACCCGTCTCCGAACCTCCGAGCGGATGCTCCGAAACGAAAGGGAGAAAGGGAGGGTTTTGACCCATCACCATGTCTGGAAAATGCGACCGGTTTTTTAGTGGTCGAATAGTTTAACCATGTGCGACCCACAAAAATGTCCAAACTCACACACAGGATTGGGATGAAAATGTTTGTCCTGGTATTTTTTCATTACAGTCGTAGAATCTCGCGCAGGGTAACATATGGGCCTACCCATCAATAAGGTAGGCGGTGATTTATGGGACCATGAATCCAAACTCACCAGCTGCTAATACCGAATACCCTTTTTTTCCGTACGCTGTGACAAAGCAACGATCTAAAGCGTCTACATATGATGGACTCCCTGCTTCCCACTTCAGGTGTACTCATCCGTTCAATTTAGATTGCCCCCTGGCTGGAAAATATGATCAACACTATCGGCATCTTTACCAACTGTTTTGACGAAGCCTTATGACATCGATGGCCCCACTGCCCCAGTTTTCCATAGGGTCATCTGTAAGTGGTTCATCACCATTAGTATGATCAAGTTTTACATCGGATATCCCCCAATATTTCTTTGTTATGCCTTAAACGTATATACAGATAAATTGATGTATCTTTATGGTTTATGTTTTTATACGTGTACAAGTACATGGTATGGGTTAAGCCCTCCAGTGGGCCAACATAGCTATGGAAAATGGCCCATTTAGTTCGACGAAAATCCGCATTCACTTGAGGCCCGGGGGGGTGAACGAAAGCTAAAGGTCATATGAATGTGGAATTAGGTGAGATTGAACTTGGAAACATGCAGGGAAGCGCAGACGACACTGATCCACAGGGATGGAGTCAAGATGGTTGCAAAGAAAAGGTGTAATGTTCAGCTTGCACTCGTAGAACATGTGAAGCAAAGAACATGGGTATTGGAAAAAGTTGGGGCCCTATCCAGACGTGTTATTGATGGGACCGAAATCCTCCACTGTTGATCCGAGGTACAAAGAATTCTATTGGGCCCACTGCCAAACTGTGAGAAGATCTTGGTACGGGACAAAGTTTCCGCCCCATCCAAAATGATAATTTTCGATGGGGCTGAAATCCAGACAGTTTTGACCTGAGTCAGAAAGAACCCTATCGAGACTCATGTTCTGGTGAAGGACCTTGCGCACGAGTTCGAACAACATGCAAATTTTCGTTGCAAGTTGGAAAACATGTGAACAAAATAAGATGGTGACTCTACAAAGTTTGGGCCCCATCCTAAATGATAGTTTTCGATGGGGCTGAAATCTACACAGTTTTGACACTAATGTTCCGGTGAGGCATCTTGAGCCAGAGTTCCATCCGAACAACATGTAATCTTCCGTTGCAAGTCGTAAAACATCAGAACCAAAGAAGATGGTGACTCTATAGTCTATAAAGTTTGGGCCCCATCCAAAATTCTAATTTTCGATGGGGCTCAAATCTACACAGTCTTGACCCGAGTGAGAGAGAACTATATCGAGCCTAATGTTCTGGTGAGGCATCTCGCGCAAGAGTTCGAAAAACATGTAGGCTTCCGTTGCAAGTCGTAAAACATCTGAACCAAAGAAGATGGTGACTCTACAAAGTTTGGGCCCCATCCAAAATTACAGTTTTCGATGGGGCTCGTCGCCGGTGACATGGCTTCTTCCCTTTCCTCATCAAACGACAAGTCCGCCAAGCAACTATATATCTAATTAGCGGGGGGCCCTCATTCTACTTGTACTTGTACAAACTCTCACTCTTTTGGCACACATCACCACATATGACCAACATGGAGATGGCAAGATCATCTCAGCGGTCTGGGCCATATTTGGGGCCGCAGTTCCAGTTATAAGTGCTTATGTTTCCATGAAACAGCATGTAACTTGCATTTTACAGCAGTAAAAAGTCAGTTGACGGCAGTTCTGTTTGCAATGGCCTTGCTTTTCAATGACTAAAACGGCTTCGCAAGTCCCAAAGACAGACTGTCATGCCAATGCAGTTAGTGGTCAGTAAGTCACCCCAATTATGGAATTGTAACCCCATTATTTATAATCATAGAAGTAGCTGGTAATAAACCATATATCATATATAGTTGCCATAATTAGTGAATGGCCTTAGCAGGTGACAGCTGCAGCACGTTTCGGCGGGCATCAACTGGACAGCACATAAACTCAACAAATCCTGAGCTAGAGAGTTACAAAAGGAAGGCCCTGGCAGGATTTGAGCCCGTGACCATCTGCTTCCAAGACTGCTTCAAAATGCCCCGGGAGCTTGGGGGGGGTTCAAGTGAAAAATCACTGTGTTGGGCTCAGACCTGCCCCTCCCCTTGCTGAAGCAAGAGTAGCTCAGCTAGCTACCGCTAGCTTTCGTGAAAACGGTGGTTTTTCACAACAGCAAGCTCTTAGTTTAGCAGAGGGTATCATCCAGTTTATCCTCAATAATCCCGATGATATCCCCCTGATGCCATCCTTTTAGTAGCTTAAAGTGAAATCCCCATGTTTGTTGGTTATACAGTTATACAGTTATACCATGATTACCAGAGGCTAACCCAGTTACCACCTCTACCATAGTAACCATAGCCAGGCCTCGTAGGGTTTCAAGGCCTGGCTTTGGACCCTCTCTCGGACGTAGACATCGTGTTCCACCAGTTCTCTGAGATATGGCAACGACAACCAGTCCGGATCAGGGTAACCTGTCAGTTCAGCACCTCAGTGAGAATAAATATCGATATCAACTGCGAAGGGACGAGGTGCCATGTCAAAAACGAGCGATACGAAGGATTTGGTAATGGAAGATTCATTTCACGGTTCAAAATTCTTGGCCGCCGAACTAAATCATGTATGGTGGCAAAATGGTGACGAAATCTAGAACCAAAGTCAGCTTTTTGCAAGGAAGGACGTGATGCTGTTCGTGTGTCAGCGAGTTTCTGCGTCCCGACAGTGTTTCGAAAATCCTCCTTTACCGAATCACTTCCCCAATCAAAGTGTTCTCCAAGGCACCGTACTGCATGCCATCATAGATCAAGAGTGGCTTCTGATGTCTTGCCCCCATCTGCACGCAAGTCCAATAATCGAAACATACCAGGACATCTGCTTGGTTCCCCACCCATTCCTTCTTGTCTGGCTGCCACTGGAAGCCAACCCGCGGGGAGCTGCAAAATCCGGCGCTCAAACTGCACATCTTAGAACAGCTGAACCTGGGGAAAATGGCGGCAACCATGATGTCTTTGGTGTCTGATGGCCAGAAGACACAGAAACACTTCCATCATGAAAATGATGGAGAAAAAACATGATCATGATGATGGTGATGATGGTGATGGTGATGCTAATGGGTGATGGTGATGATGGTAACGATGAAAAAACAAAGATTATGAAACATCAATCTACTCACAAATGTCGAACCAAAAAAGATACAATGGTTTGTTCCACAAATACAAAACAAAATGATGACGAAATTCTACATATTGCCCATTTTCCGGAACCATTGATAGCCCATGAACCATACCCTGTGGTACTGGGGAAAAATGTTCTTATTTTTTAAAAAAAAAACGTAATTTCCTACAATAAATCTGGGTTTTCTTGGAACTTAGAGCCAAGGCACATATGTTCTTGTGCCTCCCGGGCATCGCTCACCGATTTCTGAGTCACTTCATCGTCGCCTAAGCCATGAGTTGTCATCTGGCAAGGAAAAATATCCATTGTTTGAATGGAAACATACCTGTAGGAATAGGACTTTCAAAAGATAGAAAAATAATTCCTAAGATGGTAATAAATTATTTTTCTATCTTTTCAGGGGTTACTATACATATGTAAATATGTATAGACATATATACATATACATATATGTACATGTATACATATTAGTATGTAGGGAAAACATCTAGAAAATGAAGAACCGTCAAAGTCCACCTAAATATCAGAAGCGAATAAAATTCACTCATTGACAGATGACATATCCCCTCATGTTTATTGGTCAATGTGTCCGTTGTTGGTGGTTGCGAACCCTCATTTTTGTTTGTGTTTCATCCTTGCACTTAGTTGCTTCATGGTGCATTTCACTTGGATCTGGGATATCGTAGGTGATGTGCATAAGTGTGACATGGGCACCCGGAAGCAAGCAATTGTGCTAAGAACTACTCGTATTTGTTCTTCTTCATAAAAGGAGACATTTAGATTATATTTAGGAAAATCTTGGGCCTGCAAACATTGGAAATTCCAAAATAATTATTTTGTCATTTTTTTTGCATGTTTGTTGCATTTTTTTGCATTTGGGTTTGTCATTTTGGATTTGTGTTGTCATTTTTTTGTCATTTTTTTGTCATTTCTTTGTCATTTCTGTGTCATTTTTTTGTCACGTGTTTGTCATTTTATTGTCATTTTATTGTCATTTTGGGAACGGGAAAATGGAGAAAAAAAATTGTTTAAAAATGACTACCATGACAGACCTTTTGTTATCTCGTGGCAGCACCAAATACAAGGAACAAGTGGAGAAACTCTTGGAAAGCCAGCCGGCGGTGAAGAAGGATAGGGCAGGGGAGCTTGCCCTGGGGAATTCGTTTTTGGGCCTGCCTGGACGAGGAGTTGTCTCCCGGATCGGGGTGCAGGGCCGGCTCAAAAACCGGGTGGGGGGGGCGGGGCCGGGGTGAAATGGCCCGGGGGGGCGGCTCAGGCCCGAGAAGCGGGGCCGACCTGGAAACTCCAAAAACGCAACTTTACCAGCACGCGAGTCAATTTGTTTTCCATGTTTTTTGCATTTTCTTTGCATTGTTTTTTGCATTTTTTTCGCATTTTTTTGCATTTTTTTTTTGCATTTTTTTTTCATTTTGTTTGCATTTCCCAGACTAGGAGTCATTTTTTTTGCATTTTTTTTTGCATTTCCCAAACCGGGAGTCATTTTTTGCATTTTTTTGCATTTCCTAGACCGGGTTTGCCACCTTCACCGCTTGCCTGATCCTTATGAGAAAACGACAAGAAAATGAACAATGCTAGAAAGTAGAAAACGACAAGAAAACGACAAAAAAATGACAAGAAAATGACAAAAACATGAATTAACAAATGACAAAAAAATGACTTAACAAATGACAAAAAAATGACAAAAAAATGACACCACAAAACAGGAATGACAAAAAAATGCAAAACCAAATGACAAAAAAATGACAAAAAAATGACAAAAATAAATAACCAACAACCCTCAGAGTTTGCTGGTAAGATTTTCATAAGATTATATTGCTAAATCCAACACCATTCGCGGAACGTGGATAGATCTAAATCTGAATATGCTTCCAACTGTAGAATCTTATCCAGCAAAATGTTGAGAGACGTCTGTGCAACGTCCGTACCTGGTTTTTAAGTTGGATCCTTTGGAGAGAGTACCATACCTCTACCGACGACAGCACCTTTCAGGGAGGTTGCATACGGGTCAGAATTCAAATTTCTGGGGACTTATATACAAATGTTGGTCCTCCAATTGGCTTTGTCTTTGAAAGGGTACCCCTGAATCTACTGGTTTATCATTTTTGTCTTCATTAAAATAACCATTGTGGCTTTTCCCATGTATCCCTCATTAGACAAACCCAATTGCTGGGATACCCCTCAAAATCATCAGCACCTAATGACCTAATGAGTTTGGGTCGCCCTTCTGCCTTTTCATCCCAGGTGCACAACATCGTCACATTGCTCTCAGGAACCGCCTTCATCAAGACCTCAAAATGATTGCTGAAACCCCCGGTGCAAAAATACGTTAGTCATTGAAGAATCACTGGGAAGAATCTGGCAGAGAACTATAACTATCCGAATATGTTGATGTTTAGTATCATTATCCCGTCGAAATAGACCGCGGAAGTTGTTCTTGACTCCTTCAAAATGACTCTTCGACGCTGGTTCTGTGACATGTTTCCCTTAGTTTTCCCACATCCTATGATTTGTAAACGCGTTGACTCACACAAAACATGCTGTGCACATTGTATATTAAGTTATGTAACTATACGTACAGAAAACAAACCAAAAAAAATACATTTAAAAAAATGCCACTAGATACAATCAGGAGAAAAGCAAAAAGTTCTTCGCAGGTGCTTTTTTTGTTCATAAGCAAAAGGAAATCGACGGCGGTCCAATACTCTGGCACTGTGGGGGTCGAGAAAAGGGACCGGTAAATATGGTAAATTCAAACAAAATGAAAAACCTGAAAAACCTTGAGAAAATCATAGAAACACAGTAAACAAGGAGGGTCTCCAGTCTAAAAATATATCCCCGGCTGTTACAAGCAATGTAATGGTAGCTGCTTCTACAACTATATCCAAACCTGCAAGAACACAGACGTGATCACAGCCGAGTCTACCAGGAATCCTCTCTAGACAAGGTAAGTTCTGGCTACTGGTTTCTTCACACCAACTGTCAGGAGTTCTCCACAGAACTACTATTTCAAGTTAGGGACTTATTTTGGGACCCTTCACCGAAACACAAACTTTCCAGCTGGTGGTCACCTCCCTGAAAGTCCTTCAAAATCATCTCAGTTTGGGGGACCACACGTGCCATCGGGTTTACCAGCTGGTTTCACTGGGTTGAATGGAATCCGAAACTGAACCCCTAGTCACTTACCATCTTTTGCTTTCTTACCTCCTGGCAATCAAATGCTGGAAAATTCCCCATTGATAGTTGATGTTCCAGCTATAAAAGGCTATCAGCTATCAACCTCCATTTAGTTCCAGGATGTCCCATTCTTCGGTTTTGATTGGCGAAGTGTCCAGGTACCGTAGCGATTTCCACCGTCAGCGACACGTGTCCCATGCTCACAGCTAGCCGGGGTCCTTCCAAGTTCAACCTGCACATGGACCGGAGTCTGAAAATGCTGGGGAGATGTTGGGAAAACGCCAAAATCCTATGGTTATTATGGTTTATCCGGTATATCCTCAGTCAAACCAAAGGTTGTTCCATTTTTCCCTTGACTTCCAGTTTTCCTTGGACGTAACCAACCTGAAACCCTGAATGAGATCTGGATTCAAAACCTTATGATATCATCGTCAGCCCCATTCACGCTGCTAGTCTGCCGACACATGCTATGACAATATGGTTTGAAGCTGCTAGGATTAGTAGAGGCCCCATACAATCATCAGGCAATAAAGGTCAACAGGCGAGATGTGGGGAACTTGATTTTATGATGAATTCCAATGAGTCTCACTCCATCAACTAGTGGAATTTTTGGGGCTTCACCATGCTTCGCCATCAATCAGGGTCAGCTGCCCAACACAAAAAGTGTTCCTCAAATCCCTCAACTGAACACACCTCACCCAAAAGAGTCCAGCATTCAGCAAGCCAGCTGATCTTTGTGTAACCTCCAGTAATTGAACCGTTTGCGAACTGGAAAATTGCCCATAAAAGTTCGATGTACCTCTTTAAAATGGGTGATTTTCAGTGAAATGACCCGAGGGTATCTGTTTCCATCGTTTCTGAATTCCACCTGCCGCGTGCCATCCGGCAATGTGGCGTAGGAAGACCCTCGAAGCGAGCAACACAACTGAGACCCTGCGGATCGATGGAGGTCCGTAGCAAGGGCGCCCGCACCAAGTCAGCTCCTGAAGCAATGAGTGTCCCAAGTGGCCCAAGATGAAAGTCCTTGGGAATCATCATCCTGGAAATTTGCTGGTGAAATGAAAATACTTGGAGCAGGACTCCGTGCGTTTGGATCCAAGCAGATTTCCGGAACATAAACCTGCCCGGGTCCTCCACGATGGGAGCTGAGCATACCACGCACGGTTTTGAAGTTGGTGCTGTCGTTCATCTCCATGATCACATCCCACAAGTTCCTGAAGGTCGTACTTTCATTTTGTGGGGCACGTGTGTGGGACTCTGCAGATTGCGGATGGGATTGTGTATAATTGTGTAGTCTCCAAAAAAACTCAAGTGGCAAAGGAGGAAGGTGGGTAGAAGTTTCCTTTCTTCAACAGTAGGGGAAGCCATTGGTTCCACCTAATAAAGAGGCACTGCTGGGTCGCCACTAGGGGTCAAAATGGTCACCCCATGGATGGTTTAATAAAGTTCAATACTAAAATGAAACGGATCCCCAAGTCTCTCTTGAATCGCGCCTTTGACTGTCCACCCAGAGTATGGATTGACTTTCGTCCGATCGGTCAATGCTATCAGGGACCCGCAAGGATCCCAGTCGCCAAAATAGAATGGCCATCAGCAGAACAACTACACATCAAAATGAAAATATGCACGCAGAACAAACATCAAGATGCCAGAATGCCAATGGCCAAGTTTTTTCCATGGATGTCGGCATGTTGGCACCCCAATAAAATCGCTTCGGAACGTGAAACGGGAAGAGATTGGAATTCTCAAGGCTCGGAGAACGCATCACTGGACCAGTGGGTGACATCTGAACAGTTGCTGGCTCAAAAAGCACTGTGATCAGGTAAATACTTACTTAAAGGAAAAAACGTCTCTTGGCACAAACATGTGTTTGGAATGCCTGCAATAATGTGGATAAAACAGTGCCATTTGATGCCATTTGCACGCACCATCCCCCAGGCATCATAACTTTTTTTCTATAGGTGGTATTTTTACTTACCATTCCCAGGAAAATGGGTGGTTTATAAAAATGGCATTGTTTTACCCACATCAACCATCATTCACTATCAGTAACCATCATTTATTAACCACTATTAACCATCATTACTGGGGAATTAACCAGTTATTAACCATTGTGTGTCCAGTACCCATTTCATCCCACCAAAAATATCCCTATGAAGTCCGAGCTTCAAGGGCCACGAGCTGCTTGCGAGGAAGTCCCCAGCATACTCATGACCCAACCTGGTGAACCGCAGTGAACTGTGGGGGGCACTAAAAAAAGATACAACACAAAAAGTAGGGGCCGGTCCATAAACCAACAAAGATCGGGAGATTCTCCCACAACAAGATAGATGCATACATATATGATGCTATGATCATATATGTATATTTATATGTATATATATATATACATGGGCTACCTATACATACATGTATATGTATAATATTAATATATGTGTGTATATACTTAGAGAGAGAGAGAGAGATTCACATACATGCGTAGACATGAGTATGAATAAAATTGACAACCTCCGGACCAAGAATGGCCGACAAAGCCTTGGAGGCATCCAACATTGGAGCATCAGAAAGCCAGGCAGTGGATATTCAAATCAGAAGGATTGGTAAATCACATGACAAAAACCATGGCATTGGTGGAGGAAATGACAAAGACATATGGATATGGGTCAAAACCCTATACCCATGGTGAACACCAAAATAGCTGGCAAATGGATGTTCATCCCTATAAATGGTATCTCTAGGGATTGATGATAAAGACATATATAGAGACCAACCAAAAAAATCATCATCATGGATAACAAGCTCTGGGGTGACCTTTGCCATGGCACAAGGTCCGCTGCCACAGCTTGGTTTGTCCCAAGCTGGGCAAGAAATCGGGCCAGTAGTGGCTCACGAACAGCAGCCTTGGTGCAACAAGGACATGACCATGGCATCACCAGGAATGATGCAGAAGAATCCCTGCCGATCTGGCAAAAAAAAAAAAAACGTCCTTCTGGGAGCAATTTTTCTGGAGTTTTCAGATGGCAGGTGGTTACATCAAGTCCAGTATTCTCTTCGTGGAAGTCTTGTTTGTATACCCAGGAAATAACCTATGGCTTGATTCAATCCTCACCAGAAATGCCATTGCTGGACAGCAACCCAAAGGGACACAAGCCGCCAATGTCCAGCTTCGCTGTTTCCCAGGGAATTTCGAAACAGATCGCCTGCGGCTTGACATCTCTAGTCGCAGAGGCAAACGTGCCATTTAGGTCTCCCTTGACCAAGAAAAGGGACTCGGTGACACATTTCAGGAATCAACGAGTTCAATTCGAAACATAAAGCCTTTAGCATTGTGAAAATGGCATTCCAATAGCTCGAACTTCAGAAAACTAACTCATGTTCACATCACAATCATTCGAAACATGGTATTTTCCTTGGCCTCCGGCCCCCCCTTCTAGCCTGCTGAAAAATCCGGGTCAATTTCCAAAGGATCAGAATCAAGTCTCTCTCCATATGAGTTCGACTCTCCGGAGTGTCAATCTTCAAGTACTTCTCGACCTCAAGTTTTTTGAAGCAGAGTCGAAGTCGCGAAAAAAACGAGAAACAAAGTTCCAGAAAAGCATTGCTTTTACAATCAAATATAGGGAGCTCCTGTAAATGCTCCTTGAAGCATTTCATTGAACGTCCAGGATCCATCAATTTCCCTAAAAGGTCAGTTCTCATGGCGCAAAGAAGAGGTTTTGGAGACCTTCCACGTGCTTTTTTGCACAATGTTTCTCCTAAGGATGGTTTGCATGTTTACAATCACATAAGTTCTACACGAATCTGTGAAGGGCCCTTCCATTTTGACCCATATTTGGGTATGGGTCAAAATTAGGTACCCCAATAATTGGATGGTGAATACTAAACTAGACTAACATCTGTGGTCCCCTAGGTCTTCCATTTTGACCCAGATTTGCATCACAAAAACTCGAAGATCGACCCGGCTCGACCCGGCCTCAGCTCGCCAGCCCTCGGTATTCCCCGCGGCCATAAACTGCAACTGTCGGGCGGTTCGCAGGCAGTTGCCACCGCAACCCTTCACCTGAAGCATGGCTGACATCGCTAAGTCATCCCACTGGGGGGTTATCAAATCCAACCTGAAGGCCACTGTGGGCAATGGACCAATGGACAGTTGCCGCTTCGAAAAACCCAAATCGCGACATCGTAGGTCGAGAATCGCTCAGTCCACATCGAAAAATTATCGTCTACTGAATTCGAATAGTTCAACAACAATTAGCAACATATGGATCACAAAGGGATGTCAATGTGGACAAAAGGATGTAAACGGGTTCTTCTTAAAAGGGTTGTCATCGGGGTATAATAAGCATGTTTAGATTAGGGATATCAGTAACGTATGATGGCAGTGCAGATAGCGCGTGGGGTGTGGGGGTGGCCTAATGGATACCATAGGATTATCGTTCCAATAGTAATAGGTGCCTAGAGGGGGAGAATTGGTATCTAAAGGGGATGTTGATCAACAAGAATTGAGATATTGTGGCAACAAAGAAGTTGGTTTGGTGGTTGAGACATGCATCCAAAAGATATGCATTATCTCTGAACGTGATTACAGATAGGTTGTTATTGAGACCACCAGAAAGGGTGAAATCCGTGTTGAGTGTGGTAGATGGTTTTTATGACAGCGTTCCAGGTTAAAGTTGCCTACTATTGGTGTCCATGATCTACTTTTGGGCCTTGGTGCATGTTCAAGGACAAATATGTATGTATATATATACATATATATATGTTTGTGCTCGTCCCTTTGTAAATTAAATTTCTTATTCAAACAAACGTAAAACTCAAAACGCCACGCAAATCGCTCGAAGGTCGGACATGTATTTAATATTTCTTTTTGTCTTTGCTTATCTTAATTGAGTCGGGGGTGAAACCGCACAAACACAAGTCAAGTGTCTGGTAACTGTTTCAGGTCAACAAGTCATGTCGCCTGTCACCCCCCCACAAGATAAGGGAGGGAAAACGAAGTTTGGGAGGGGATAGAAAAATCGAACGGGTCAAGTGCAACCCACCCTCCACACCCTAGCCAAAATTGCGCGGAACATAAAATCAAAATGTTCGCAACAGAGCAAAAGGTGAGAAGACTGACATCAATCTGATCTAAATAAAAAGTGAGAAGTAAAGATCATCCTTCAAACAACAGTGACAGATGTAAATGTCACAACATGATAATAAACAGAAGTTGTTTGGAAACTTCAGTTGGTTTCCAGCATTCAGCCAGGAGCATCTGCCGCCGCACAAGTGCGGAATGGAAAAGGCGTCCAACTACGGAAGTTTCAGCAGATTTCACCGCACTTCCACACATCTTAAAATAGCTTGAACAATTTGAACATGTTTAACATCTTCAACTCTTCACAGGAGGATCAGCTATATTTGCTTGACTCTGAAAGCTGAGCTGAAAACACCGCCAGGCTCACCAACACCGTCAGTTGGTTTTCAGTTCATCAGATTTTTCTTTTTTTTGTTACAGGCGGTACGTTCGCAAGCTCACTACTCCCAACAAACAAAGGCCACAACAAGTTGAAGCCAAACGTTTGTGCTCGTCCCTTTGTAAATTAAATTTCTTATTCAAACAAACGTAAAACTCAAAACGCCACGCAAATCGCTCGAAGGTCGGACATGTATTTAATATTTCTTTTTGTCTTTGCTTATCTTAATTGAGTCGGGGGTGAAACCGCACAAACACAAGTCAAGTGTCTGGTAACTGTTTCAGGTCAACAAGTCATGTCGCCTGTCACCCCCGTTTTTTTTTCCGACATGTAAAGAGCTTCACTTTCTTGTAACTTCCAAGAGCATTGTTTCAGGCAAGCATATATCGCCTGCAAGGTTTCCTCCCGAGATTGCCTGGCATTCTTTCAGTTTGGAGCGTGACGGCAGGTCAGCAATGTTTGACTCCGAAGCCACCCTTTCATACCATGAAGCGGAAGGAAATTCTGCTTCTACTAAGGACACTGCACGACAGATGTTGTACATGGACAGTGAAGGGCTGGATCCTTTGATCAAGCAAAAACGTGCAGCCTCGTTGTCAACGAAGTACAGTGCTGAAGAATTGGAAAGTTCATTGCGGTAAAAATACCTCACAAGCAAAACTGCAACCAACTCAATTTGACAAATTTTCTGCTGAAGTCCAATAGATGTCCAGTGCTCCATCAGGACTGGTGGGATGGTTCCCCAGTGAATTGCATTAATGCCAAGTTGAGGGATTATGACAACTGCACCCCAGGTTCCATTCCCATTCTCGTACGCACCGTCCGTGTAAATCACTGCCGGACGATCGCTGCTCAGGAAGCGAATTTCTCGTGGTCGCATTCGGTTAATGATCCTGCATGTATCATTGCACAAGCGCGATATGAGCTCTGTATCTGATGAACCTGACTGCAAACTTGCAAACTGTCTGGCGGCAGGCTTCAAACAACGTCCAACCACAAAGCCACCAGCATAATTCAGCAATCCATGCATAGTCGCCGCCTCGGGTGCAGACACAGTACCCTTGGCAGCGTATGATTCAAGCATCTCCAAAATCCTCTGTATCCGACTTGGGCAGTTCGCCACTGTCACTTGTTTGTTCCAAAAGTTCTGCAAGTGGAATGCTACTCCCAACACCTGCATGGTGTCAGAAAAATCAACACTCTTTTTACCAGTCGTAGCATGCTTCCACCCAAGCAAATCCAAAAGGTGCTGCACCACGTTCGTAGTTGTTGCCGCCAAAGGTTCAAACTCAATAACAGGAAAATCATCATAAAATACAGTGGTAAGGAGGTGAAATTTTCGAACCATCAAAGTCCAGATACCGCGCGTGATCTTGTTGAATGCAAAAACGCTGGACGTGGCTCCAAAAGGCAGTGACTTCGATATAAAGAACTTCCATTCGCCAGATTCACTTCGCACTCCCAAAACGCTATGTCTAGCAGACTGAGGAGCAACACTGACCTGCTTGTACGCCTTGCTCAAGTCGATGCCCCTGCCCAGCAGCAAAGGCTTTCGGTCGTAGTCAGGGTGCCTTCGACCAGTGAGGTGGTCACCTGAAGAAAGTTCGATGTCGATATGTGGATCTCCGCAGAAAACACCCAAAGCAAACGCAAGAAAGCAACTGATTACGTCGGTGTCGTGCAGGTCAAGGTGCGACGATGTTCCAAAGGCCGCATTCACTCCCGACGTTTTGTAGTTGTCAATCACTCTAGGTTTAAGGTCTTCACCTTGCAAAGGAAGGAACCGTTGGGACATTGACCAGTCCGCACGCCCAAGCCTTTCTGTTATATCAGACTCCAAAAAGGGACCATCCAGAAAACCAGCAGATACCTCTTTCATAGTTTCTTCCATAAGCAGTTTTGCAAGCCCACGTTCTTCGTCAGTAAAGGCTTTGCCCATAAGGGCTTTTCGTCGCCACAAAGCACTGTGGTCCAACTGTTCGCTTGTCATTGTAGGTGGAGCCCATCGTTGTTTGTACAAAGCGCTTTCGTCTTCCCAGCCAGTCAGGGGAACTCCTTCGCGCATATAGCGCACAACCTCCATGTCTTCGAACCCAACCTGGGTCAGCAGTTTTTCCCAAGTTCAATGCGTTTTGCCTTGGTCACCTCCGCCACGTTCTTGTCCATTTTGACTTTCGCCAGTTTCTCCGCAAGAGCCAGTCGCTTTGCAATTTCAACACATTCTCCCAGCTTGCTGATGCGGAACAGGGCAACATCTGCCATCGAGTGTGTTGCCACAAAGAAAATAGCTTTCTTCAAATCATCTGGTACACCCTTGTGCGTAAATGCAGGGTGCTGCAATTCTAAAGAACGCTTGAGGTGATCATGATGGTTGAAACAAATGCCAACCTTGTAGCTTTCAGCTGACCTCTCGCTGTCGTCTCCCCCGTGTCCCAAGCGAGCCAAAATTTTGTGTGGCAGTTGAGGGAGTACCGTAGTGACAATAATTTGGGAAAATTCAGGGATCAATTGGTCATGACCTTTGGCTTGAATGGATTGGGCCATTAAAGATTGCAGTCGAAAAAATTTTGAGTTATACTCCAGTGCATTAGCAGCGACCATTGTACTTGCACATTCAGCATATCGATCACAGAACATTGAAGGATATTGAGCTTCCGCTGCAGTAGAAAAAATCCACTTATCAAATCCACTGACAATTGTCCATGGCTCATGGTTGTGGGACTTGTCGCACATAATCCCCAGTGGCTCAAACTGTCGGGTCGACACCAGCAACTTGGTTGACTTGGCGCGGTTTCCTCCGTGCATGCAAAAATCAAATTCCACGGGGTGAAAACAAAAATACCACTCAGCAAATTCAGGGCACTTGTGTTCGCGTGCATATTGCTTGACCAGTGTTGCAAGTACTGTCCATAACCACGATCGTAAAGGATTCTCCAGTGTAATGAATGCTCCAACACGAAAAAGTGCATGCAACAAGCGCACAGCATGTCTATAAACAGTATTTGCAGCGTCAACTCTCTGCTGGTTCAGAGTGCTCAAATTTGGCAGGCCAAGTGGATGCAACGCGTCACGGAGTGGCGCAGGTTGAGGTGCTCCTTGAGAGCGTAATGCATGTGCAACCGGCACTTCTCGTGCTCGGCTGCAAGTTCCACACATAAGCCCAAAATGGGCTCCTACCGGCTTCATCTGTTCGATCATGCCTTCAAGGAGTGAAATATTCTCATGCAATGACAAATCCAACTCAAAAATGTGCATCTTGTTTTTGAAACGATTTGCATGATAGTCAATCGGAAAAACTTGCCAGCCCATGCGTTGCATTGATGCAGAGAGCGCAGCTGAGCCCGCACAGATTTCCAAAAAGACTATTGGTTTGTCTGCATGAGGGTGAGAAATTGTATTGTCTTGTTTCGGCTCAACAAGTCAGTGCTTACACTCAATGTAAGGTCGCTTCTCTGTGCAACCCTTGTAGTAACATTGGTGAAGCCCCAAATGACAACGTGCTTTCTTCTGATGTTTGCAAATCCCTCTGTTGTAGAAAACACACAGCCATTGACCGTTCGGCAGCTTGCTGGCGCAGCCGTCTGGCATGTTGGTGAGCATCTCTTTGATAGTGGGCCCAGAGCTGGGACCTGACGCAGCACCTTTCGACTGAAATTTGTTCTTCCCTTTGCCTTTGCCGGATCCACTGCTCTGTTCCGCTCGACTGTATGGCTCGGAACGATGTTCCAACCCACCCCTCCACACCCTAGCCAAAATTGCGCGGAACATAAAATCAAAATGTTCGCAACAGAGCAAAAGGTGAGAAGACTGACATCAATCTGATCTAAATAAAAAGTGAGAAGTAAAGATCATCCTTCAAACAACAGTGACAGATGTAAATGTCACAACATGACAATAAACAGAAGTTGTTTGGAAACTTCAGTTGGTTTCCAGCATTCAGCCAGGAGCATCTGCCGCCGCACAAGTGCGGAATGGAAAAGGCGTCCAACTACGGAAGTTTCAGCAGATTTCACCGCACTTCCACACATCTTAAAATAGCTTGAACAATTTGAACATGTTGAACATCTTCAACTCTTCACAGGAGGATCAGCTATATTTGCTTGACTCTGAAAGCTGAGCTGAAAACACCGCCAGGCTCACCAACACCGTCAGTTGGTTTTCAGTTCATCAGATTTTTCTTTTTTTTGTTACAGGCGGTACGTTCGCAAGCTCACTACTCCCAACAAACAAAGGCCACAACAAGTTGAAGCCAAACATATATAATTAAATATATAAACCCACTCATCACCCATGAGAAAGCCTCAAAGTACACGGTCAACGGCTGCTGTAATGTCCCAAAATACCAATCGTTTGGAGTGAACTGACAGCTCAAATCAAATGGGGGTCTAAAACAAACCACTGGACATCTCTGCTGTGAACCTCAGCTGCCGCCAAGGTTAGCAACCAGCCCTGACTCATGTTCTGCAGAGTTTCCCCAAAATCAACCCATTTTGGCTCGTGAATTTCCCAATTGTCAGTGGTGTCCCCCCCCGGAAACCAATAGCTTTTTCATGGGTTTCACCCCGTAAACATGAGAAAAGACCAATATGGCTTTGTCTCAAAATAGAGGGATACAGGATGCCAAATGTACCGTGTTTTTTTATAGGGAACGGAAGGACACAACCCGGAAAAAAGGGTAAAACAATGTAAAACATCCGAATCCAGTGGTTTAAACCAGCCCAATCCCCATCTGAGACAAACCCGCCCATACCCAAAAAACGACTGCTGCGTCTCCATCCCCATTTATTGCTGGTAGAATCCCCATTCACCAATTCATTTACACTCATCCACCTAGTTTTCGGATTGTCATCAGATTTTCCCAGTAAATCCCCAGGTTCCTTGCTGAATTTTTTTTTGGCCATGGTTGGTTTTGCACATCCATTTTCGGAACCTGCACCAAACCTGCACCCACGAGCTGAATTTTTCCAGGTGGCGGCGCGTTCGATGCCGAAACGCCGATCCGCTACAACCACGGAATCCAGGAAGTAACTCCAGCCCTAAGAAAATGAGATTGTTGCTGATGGGATCTAAAAGACACCCAATTGGATACCAAAGTGCCACTTGACTTTGAATATTTTGAATTGGGTACCGGTGCAAATTGGATTTATCTGCATGCGCCTGAGGCCTGAGCCTAAAATGGTTGATTCACTCATAGTCATATGCGGGTTTCCCAAAATTGGAATATATCAAGCATTGTTATATAACATGCCATTGAACATGCCATTGGGTCACGTATTTGGCGGGTTCCCGATATGTTTTTCCATATCCCCATCCAGGTACTCCAAGAAAGAATGATATCACCAACAAAAGCACGGCAGATATCATGCTGTCGAATCCGGTGTCAATAATCATCCAGCCCTCAGAATTCAAGCCTCCACATACTCTAATGACCCTTTTAAGTCAGGAATATTGCATGTTTGCATACGTGTAACCCAAACAAAAAAAACGGGCATGTCTCAAAAACAAAGACCCACATATCAAAATTATGCCTGGCAACTCAATCCGTGCATGTGGCAGATGGAGTTGCCTACTTGGATGACCATCCCGCTTGATATCTGCTTTGCGACTAGGTAGCAAATAGATGGGATACCCCACAGGCCTTCCATCAGCATATTTTTTTTTCCACATCTATACACCTATACATATCTATATTGGGTAATCTCATCTTTGTATACCAAGCTGGAAATGGTCACCCAACTGGTGCAAAGTTTCCAAGTTCCTTGTCGGTCCTGCAATCCAAGAGTTCCTTGCCTGTCTGAGACAGATACTGCAGAGGCCTTCGCGGCCGCCAGCTAAAATTTCGCAGACCTTCCACGTTCCACGCTGCGAAGGGCAAATCCAACAGACCCAGTGGCGCAACGGGCACGGGCCCTGGCGTGGCCGCCATGGCGGAGCCCAGACGAAGATTCCATGGCGGTAAATACTAAGACCTCTAACATTTGTTCAATTTGTTCTATTTCAACCAGCACCAACAGGTCAACAGGTCAACAGCCCACCGCTGGCAACATACTGAAACCATCTGACAGAATCCGATAAATTCCATCGCAATAATGTCATTGCAAGTTGCAGGAAACAAAATGTAAGAAGCTTTCGCGCGACCAAAAATCACCAACAATGTGGTTGGATGTCATCAGCTGTCACTCCCTACAATTTCAGGTTTCAAACAAATCTGAAACCGAAAAAAATTGGTTAAAGATCAACAAACGGCATTTTGGAAAGGTATCCCAGACCACCACCATCACCACCCAGGTTCGATGGCCGTTCATCATCCCATTTCGAAGCGTTTTTTTCTTGAATTGACCGATGCGCACAACCACAAAATTCTATAGTCATGCTATGTCCACTCCAATTTCAACGAGGCAAATGCCATTGTTAGCCCAAATCGAAAAACATCCAGCTCTCGGGGAGATTCCAATGGTGAGGGCTGGCAAGCATCGGAAACCGGAAACCAACTCAAGAGCCATCTCTGTCGGATCTCCCCATCGCTGCTAAGTTCCTGATATTTCTGTGACTCCAAGAGCTTGGTAACATTAGCATTGGAAATCTCCAATGTGGATTTCAAAATAAAAGGACCGGATAACCCCACATGTCAAGCCTTTATGTGTCTAAGGTTAATGTAAACTTCGGGGAGGTGTGAGAAGTGAGGTGTGAGAAGTGGACTTGTGATGTCAGGTGTGAGAAGTGGAGCTGTGATGGGTTCTGATGTGATAAGTGAGGTGTGAGAAGTGGGGCTGTGATGAGTTGGGATGTCTTTATTTTCCTTGATAGCGAGACGCCTTCAGGATCCATTGATACTGCACTTGATCATAGCCATTTGGCTGATGCAGTCTGAACATGCATGAAACTGAATCACAAGCAGCAAACGTGTGATACCTATGCAAATCACTAAGATATGAACAGATACTACACTATGACTACCTGACTGTAGCATTGCAAATGTTTCTCACCCCGCCTTTTGCGCATCACTTTGTGTTGTGCAAACTTTGAAACAAGCTGGGGAAACAAAATGAATTGGCGTCTACCTCTCATCGTCTGAGCTCGAAAGATCGGTAAGATCTTGCATCATCATCCAGACTCCATTTCTTTGCTCTGGGTGTTCTGAGCAGAGCCTGCAGATTCGAACCATGACTTCTCTCTGCTCCACATATTTCAAAACGCTCGCAGCACGGCCACTTTCCATGGCTCTTCCCAAACGTTCTGTCAACCTTTGAATCATCCAAAGCGCCATATGCTCTGGACTGTGGGGTTCAAACGCTGCAGCAGGCTCTGTCAAAACGAAATCAGCAGGAGGATCTGGAGGAAGAAAACTTTCAACTTCTGGTTCATGAGCATCGTTTGTGAATCCACTTTCAGGCTCCACACTGATGCAACTGAAAGCATTGAACTCAGGGTCATGACTTCTCAAGGAATTGTGAAGCTCCACCATGGATCGAACACCTTCTGGAGAAATACCATCATCTTCAAACTGTGAATACATATTCATCAGTAACTCATGCATGGCATTCAGTGAACTCACTTCAGCATCATTGCTGTCGTATTCGGCCTCGTTGATCAAACGCAAGGTCTGTTTCACGCAAACGCAAAGAAAACCATAAACTGCCGGTTTGTTGAACTGTCTTGTTGAAGCTCGGGTTTCTCTCTCAACGCTCACTTCAGCTTCTGGTTCGGGTTCATTCACATGCGGCATCATGGCCACTGCAGAAACACAAACGAAAAGAATCACCAAAAATGAGATCACTGCCAGTGAAAATCCATGGTTTGGAAATTGCTCATGTAGCAAAAACGACATTGGGCTCGGTAGGCTCAAGGCGTCTGTTGTGCTCACAAGGCTCAACATCAGCAAAGCACGCAACGTCTGCTTGGCTGAAACCATCGTTTTGTGATTGGAGTCTTCTCCAATACTTTCACGCATCATACGCAGGACATGTCTGAAGTCACCTGCGGCCTTTTCTCTCAAAACTATCTCAGCACCAACAAGCTCGCCCACGCTCTCATCGAAAACACCAACACCATTCATCAAGTATTGCATTCTGTCTCTGGAAAGCTTCTTCGTTCCAAGGTCTGCATAGCTTTCCTTTGTTGGAATTGTGCTGGTTTCCAACTGCTTTGACTTAACCAGCTGCTGAATCCACAACACCCTGCATGACAGGTGACGTATGCGTCCGACTCCACTCCGTTGAAGCACCTGCTTGGCTGCGCTGTTGTCCAAAATGATTTTCAAACGTATCTTTTCACCAACGCAAAACTCCAAGCAAATGCGAAGAAGCAAGCCGTCACATGTTGTAGACACTGCAGCATGAACCTCAGCTTCTGCTGAGCTCAGGGCAACAATCCTCTGAGTACGACTCGTAAGGAGAAGCAAACACCCCAAAAAGCAAATGATACCAGAGCTCACTGACTTCCTGTGCCCTTTGTGGGCAGCCCAATCTGAGTCTGAGAACATCTCAAGCGCTGGACTACCATCCACAAGGGGTGAATGCCACAAACCACCCAACTGCACTTTCAAACGCAAGGAGTGATCACGCACTGAGATCAGGTACAAGCACAAGTGTCTGAGCATCGTCCATGCGCGCTCAGTTGGGCAACTCATTGACTGTGCCAAACCTCTGATGGTGTAGGCACACTCCACCAAATCGCTTGCCAGGTAGAGAAGGACACCAACTGCAGAACGATACTTTGAAGCTTTGCAAGGTTCAAGCTGTGGAGAATCGTCGACCTCATTCATCAACTCATGACATGGAACTTTCTTTGGGTTCATGTGGCTCTGGATGCCTACGATCTCAAACAGCTTCTCAAAGTGACGTGGATTTTGCTGAACATGGATGGTCTCAGGGTCCACCAAAACGTGGATTCTCTTCAGGAACTCAAACGTGTCGCCTGGTTGGCTCATGCAATGCACTGAGGTCTTGTACTGCATAGCAAGTGTTGGGATGAGCTTCTCATCAAAGAACTGCTGTTCTGTCACCACCAGCATGTCATCCACGTGCAACAAAATCAAACACTCACCTCCCGGACTGCGCAACAAGCTAGGGTATGCTTGGCAGTGCTCAAAGCCAAGCTTCTCATTCAAAAACCCACTCACGCTTTCAAACCACAACTGACTGCCATCTCTCTGTCCTGGAAGTACACGTCCCAACGCAAAGGTCTCAGCACCTGAAGTAACAAGTGTAGGCTGTTGTTGGGGAACTGTCAAGAAAGCATCGCCAATGTCAATGGCTCCAAGCACGAACTTCTTCTCAGGGTACTTCTTTTTCCAGTGCAAGAAGATTGTTGGCAGCAGTCTGTTGGTCACATTGCTGGAAGCTGGACTGAAAAGGTCCTGACGCTCTGGAGACAACCATGCGTACTCTCTTGCCACATATCTGGCTCTGCGCAGCCAGCACCTCTTTCCATCAATCACTTTGTCACGCCATGTAATGACAAAACGAGTGGACAGCCGTTTGGGGTCAGTCCCTTGCAAGGTCTCAGGTGGCAAGAGCACTTCCATCTGTTTCAAGCGTGTTGTTTCCACATACATGGCTATCGAGTCAAGCTGGGCCATCTTCTCTGCAGAAAACTGTGGCTCCTGATCGCTGTATGGAAAGATCAGTTGTTTCAGCAGAGCATCATCTGTTGCAACATCACTAGAGACATCATCACCTGTCAGGCCAAAGTCAAACTCTTCCATCGCATCAAGCTCACTGCCACTGAATGTGGTGTAATTGTGATCATCTTCATGTTCATACTCAACACCAGCAATCATGCAAATCCTCGGTCGTTTGGACATGGGCTCATCCTCACCATCAGGCGAACGAGGAACATCTTGCCCATAATCAACAGGTGTCGCAAGTCCAGTAGCAGATGCCGTTGCAGGTGGTGGCATCATGACAGCAGGGGCTGGTACTGACCCCGCCTGAGCTTGCATGGGGGCTTCTTCAACCACAAAGTCAGGGATCTGCTCCATTGGTGTTGGTGGCAAATCTTTCACGGCTTCTGCCTCCTCATCATAAACTGGGAGCAGCTTGCTAGGGGCAGGTTGCGCACTAGCAGGCGGCAAAGCTGGAGCCACCTGAGGCACTGGTTTGAGAACTCGCTTTGGCACCATCAACCTTGATCCCAACGTAGCAAAGGAGCACTCCCATGGTGTCATCTCAACATTGCCAAGTTCAGTTGCAACCCATGGAACAGGAATCCTGCGCACAGATCTGGTGATGAACAGCCCACCATTGCAAGAGATGATATGGGCATCATTGTTCTGAGTCTTCCCAAGCCAAACTCCACGCTGCCAAGACGCAAGGCCTTTTGCAGAGGGCTTCAAAAAACCCATGCACGTTTCACCAAACAAGCAAATGCGGCCATGGTACTCCTTCCCAGTGCATCTCTCATAAGGGGTCTCACCATTGGCTACTGCAAAACGACAATGCAACCAGCTTGCATGAACAATGGCCCAAGCATACAAAGGGTGGATGGCACTGAAAATCACTTTGCCATCAGCGCCAATCGAGCGCTCAACCTGCTCAATCAACAGGTTGGCTTGGTTTCGTATGACCTGAACAGTCACTTCTGCAGCACCATTACCCTCTTTGTTGCCAGGCACCACCAACTCAACTGTTGTATGTATCCCAAGTCCCTTCAAAGCCCTTTTGCATGAATCGAGCAATGACACAGTGCTGGGTTCATTGTCTGTCCTTAGACACACTTCCTGGTGTCCCAACCACGTAACAAAGCGGCAAAGCTCTTGAGTCAAAAAGCTCAGGCTTCGACCTCCCTTAGCAGGAGTTGGGACTGCATGCATCATCTTGGTGCTTCTGTCATGCATGAAAAGGACTGTAAGTGGATCTGTCGTGCCACGCTCAACATAGCCAAAGTCAAAGGAGACCACTGAGTGCTCAGAAGCAGCATGACTTT